ATCCAGACTGTAGGTTGAATCATGATAAGTAAACTAATAAATGGTAACCTAGAATAGCTGGCTCTATTCTGCAATCCTATCACCTTGCTGCCAATTCAAAGAGTAATCTTAGTCCAATTGTATAGTGATCAAATAAACCAATGCCTAAGTAATAGCATTGGCCTTATAGTAATGGGCTTAACATTTTTAAAATGCAGCTCATCTGAGAATTTTCTTTACCATTGGCACTTTAGAATTATTTTTCATACATACCAATACATTTTCAAGAAGTTTTTCCAAGTGATAAGTAGAAAATGTGTAAAATCTCTTTAATGATTGAATATAGGATGGTGGCATAATGGCTGCATACTGGGCTGCTATGTGTCAGGTCAGCAGTTTGCAATCACCAGCCGCTCCTTGGGAGACAGAGTGTGAGTCACTATTAGTTGGCTTCGACTTGATGGCAGTGAGGTTTTTAATAAAAATTCAGGAAAAATTCTTTTTAACTTTGCAAAAACCAGTTGTTAAGTAAATTTTGTAACTAGGCAATGAGAATTACTTATTAATATGCTTATATTTTAATAGAATAATCATTACTGTAATTTATTTTATGTAGTCATCACTTTTTAAAAAATAACAACTTGGCATAAAACAATGACCATCTCCATGTTGAGGTTATTAAAGACAACATAAGAAATGAGGCCTTTGGTGGCTTTTCTTTACCATTCAGAGAAAGACAAAACCAAAACCAAACTCACAGCCTTCGAGTGGAGTCCAACTCATGGTGACCCTGTAGGACTGAGTAGAACTGCCCGTGGGTTTGCGAGACTGCAGATCGTCACAGGAATAGAAGGCCTCCTCAGCCTCTCCAAAGAAAGAGAAAAGGAGAGACAGAGGAAGAGAAATAAATGTGAAATCTTTTTCTGTCTTTAATTTTACATTTCTCTTCCTCCTCCTAAGGATTATTTGGAAAAACTAAATTCCTTATAAAGAAAGATACATGAAGATGTACTGTTATTTTAAAGTGTTTTATCAATGTTAAACTTTAAGCAACTGGAGATAAAAAGAAAATAAACTGACTAACTTAAGGCGCTTACATTCTAAAGCATTGATTTAGATGAGAATTGAACTCTTCCTATGACTTTTTGCCCACCGCCTTATGAATGAGTAGAATGCCATGGTTTTAACTCTCCTAGCTGATTTTCAGACTTTTTTTATCTTTCAATGGCCAAGATGAAGGGAGACAAAGAGACAAGTTTAGCAGGATTAGAAGACCGGCACCTTCCCTTGAAAAACCTGTCTTGCTTGTAAAGATGCATTCTGAGGTTCAGCACATAATTAATCACCTGCTTTTAGTCTAGCTATGTAGGTACTGCCTAATTAAAAGAAATCAAAAGAATGACTCAAACATGTGATTGGAATTTGAATGAGTCCTAAATTCCTTCCCAATATGTCAGAGTACCTGTATCCTGATGGCAAAGGTAGGAGGCAAGAGAATAAAAACATTTTTTTTCCTGATCCTCCTCAACCTAACTTGGTATTGCTGTCTGCCAGTTCCGCTCAGACTGAGCAGGAGCAGGGTAGGAGCGTGTTTGTGTTCAGAAAGCCACAGGGACAAGGCAGCAACTCTCCATATTCCTTAGGATGACCTCCTGGTTCCTTCTTTACCTGTCATGGGTGTTCTTTATCATGTCAAACCTGAATTCTCGCGCCCCACTTCTCCCCACCGAAGGAGATTGAGTTCTTTTCTTGGCCATGGCACTTACTGTGCCGAAGAGGTTTCAGCAGGCCTTCCAGGCCAAGGCAGGTTGAGAAGAAAGCTCTGGTGATGTCCTCCAGAAACCAGATAATTAAATGAATACTCTGAACCACAATGGTTCAGTATGGTTTGATGATGGGGTTGGCTCTGGATCAGGCAACATTTCATTCTGTTGTGTGCAGGGTCTCCATCAGTAGGGGCTGACTCATCCTCTTCACAACAGAAACCCATCGTAGGCAAGATAACATCATTGAGAAATTAGATCTGATTTTTCCTCGTGTGATTGTGTATGCTTAGAATAGCTCAACCAAAATAGAGAGTTAGGTTGGTTTTTACCTAAACTAATTGCAATTTCACCTAGCTTTATATAAAGTACTTTTCAAAGAAGTGGGAGATTTTCTTTTTATAACTTCATTGCTAAAATAACTACTCTGATATCAATAAATTGACTAATTTCAAGATATATGATTGAGTAATGCTGACTGAGAGAGGATGTTTGAATTCTTTAATAAAATTTCAGTGAAAACATATATTGTTATCTTCTAGGACCTGGGACTGAAAATACTGAAGTTTTGCCACACACAGAAAAGGTTGGTCTATATAGTTAAGATGAACTACATAGATAATGAGTTTAGTTTTGTTTTTTAATTATGTTGATTAAAATATCAAGTTCATTTAGGTGTTTCATCTAGACAGGAATACAAAAGTCATTTCAAATAGAAATCTCTTCTTGTCTAACAATTCTAATAAAATAATATTTTCATAATCTGTGTTTTTTAGCTAGCAATGTAAGCCTCTCATTCTTTATCTAGGGGAGAACCATGTCAATTGTTACCAAACCAGTTGCTGAGATGAAATAACAAAAATACCTCGTTGGTTTGTCTGTTATCTGTTCCTTTAATATCTCCTCCTAGATACTACCATCTTCTTCTAGTTGCTCTGGGTCAAGTGACTGACTGCCTTGGCTTTGCCTTCTGCTTGGTGCTTTGGGGAAGCCGAGGACTGTGAGACTGACTGTACCCACAAGGAACCTGGGCTCTTTCAGAGATACCAAGCAAAGCAAGTGCTCGCTTACCCGTATCTGTATCTTAATTCATCCTAGCTCTGCCTGCTTCCATACTTTGTTCAAAATGGGAGCCAGAAGGCAGGGGAAACATGATGAAATTTGGAACCAGATAGGCCTTCATTCCAGTGCCATCCATACAATGCTAAATAGCACCATCTGTTTCATGGGGTCATTGTAAGAACTGAGTGAAATGGTGTTTCATGGTGCCTGGCACCTCAAACTCACTGCTATGCAGTCAATCCTGACTCATAGCGACCCTGGCAGTTGGTGTTTCATAGATGGATCTTTCACTTCTTGCACAAATCTTTACTTCTCTGAGGATTCTGTGTGATCTTGATCAAAGTAATTGTTCCATCTTTATCTTTCATTACTCACTGATTATATCAGTGTTTCCCAATCACTTGATGTTCAGGGAAAAGTCATTTTTGGGGACAAAAACATTTGGATAAGTCTGAATTCTAAAGCTTCCACTTAAAGATTTCCCTTACACATGCTTCCAAAAATCCTGTTTAACTTTGTTTATCCAAGAATTTTCTCATGAGAGTTCCCTCCACAACCCAGAAAAACTATAGTGCTCTGTGGCACTGTTTGATACCAATGTAGGCCATTTGTGGATTGCATACAACGCTTGATGACATTATTTATGCCTATGCCTCAGTATTTTTGTCTTAAATCTTTAGTTTAAAATGAAGATCCTTTAAGGCAGAGCCCATGATACAGTTTATTATATCTAAATCTTTGAAATCAGTAAGCAAAGAACTTCAAATAGGAGGGAGGCCAGGAGGTGTAACTTAAAGAATTGGTAGAATTATTGAATTGCTTCCTAATTACCTTTCTTTTTCTCACCTCCCACCCCAACAGTTTTTTGTTTTTTGCTGTTGTATAGTATATTTGTTTTCGAAAACCTGGTTTTTTATTTTTTTTATATACATAAATCATTTTATTGGGGCTTTTACAACCCTTTTAACGACCCACACATCAATTGTATCAAGCACATTTGTACATTGTTGTCATCATCATTTTCAAAACATTTTCTTTCTGCTTGAGTCCTTGATATCAGCATCTCTTTTTTCCCACCCTCCCTCCCTCGTGAACCCTTGGTAAATTATAAATTATTATTATTTTCATATCTTACACTGCATGCTGTCTCCCTTCACCCACATTTCTGTTTTTCATTCCTCTTTGAGGCGACGGGATTATACATCAATCATTGTGATTGGTTCCCCTTTTATCCCCTTTTTCCCGTCACCTTTCCCCTACCCTCATGGTGTCACTACTCCTATTATTATTCCTGAGAGGTTTATCTGTTCTGGATTCCACGAGTTGAGGGCTTTTATCTGTACCAGTATCCATGCTCCATTCTGGCCGGATTTGGACAGTAAAACTAGGGTCATAATAGTTGGGGGGCAGGGAAGCATTAAAGAACTAGAGGAATGTTGTGTGTTTTGTCAGTGCTATACTGCACCCTTGCTGGCTCGTCTCTTCTTTGTGTAAGGGGATGTCCAATTGTCTACAGATGGACTTTGGATCTCCATTCCGCCCCACCTCATTCACATTGATATGATTGTTTTGGGTCTTCTGATGCCTGATACCTACACCCATCAACACCTCATGGTCACACAGGCTGGTGTGCTTCTTCCATGTGGGCTTTCTTGTTTCCCTGCTAGATGGCCGCTTATTTAACTTCAAGCCTTTAAGACACCAGACGCTGTATCTTCTAATAGCCAGGTACCATCAGCATTTTTTTTTACCACATTTGCTTATGCACCCATTTTTACTTCAGCAGTCGTGTTGGAAAGTGAGTGTCACAGAATGCCACATTATTAGAGCAAAGTGTTCTTGCATTGAAGGACTTTGAGTACTTGAGTAGAGCCCCAATGCCTGTCTGCTCCCTTGATACTTAACATATAAATATGTGTACATAGATCTATATCCCTATCATTATATATTAATATATTTACATATGTACATGCCTATATTTATGCCTTTATAAATGTCTTTTGCCTCCTAGTTCTTCTAATTTCTTTTACTTTCCTCCTGTCCCACTTTCATGTTCAACCTTTGTTCAGTTCTCAGTAATTCCTCTTGGCTACATTGCACTTGATTGAACCCTGCCAGGTGTTCTACATCCTTCTCACCATCGATTTTAGATCTCTTGTTCCCTTGTCCCTAGGTTTGTTGGCTACCCCTCCCTTTCCCTCACCTCCCCCTCTCCTGTCCTCCTGGAACTATTTTTTTTTGGCTTGGGATTGTTTATCTTAACTATCTTACATAGGTTAACATGAAAAGAAAAGAAGAAGAAGAAAAAAGGACCTGTAATCAGTTCCAGGTCTGTCAGCTGACCCTTATGTATATTTTCTGATGAGTCTGATGAGGTGCCAAATCCCGCCCTCCGAGTCTGAAGTCTTATTTTTAGGATTCCTTGAGGACTTCATTGCTTTGCTCTCCTTGCTGCTCTGTTGCACTCCCTTCGTGTTTCACCCCAGTGTGTGTGTGTGTGTGTGTGTGTGTGTGTCGTCCAGACGCACAATTTCTGCACTGTGTCTCCAGTGCTGTCCCCTGCAGCATTGTGGGTCAGTGGGGGGATGTCATGTCTCGTGGTGTGGCCAGCCCTATGGTCCTCTCTGCTTTGGTTGCTCTGAGCAGGAGTGTCATCCTCTGGGCTTGGTGTGCCAGGGATGTGGTTCTCTCTCTCCATCTTAGTTTGCTCCCATGTGGTGTGGGCAGACTCACTACTCTCCCCGGGCTGTATCTTCAGTGTTGCCCTCTGTAGTGCAATCTTCTGGGGGAGGGGGACCGCATAGGTAGGATTGGGGCTGGCCCCACAGACCTCTCTATTAGTTCACTGCTTCATGCCAGTGTGTTGCCCTCAAGGCTTAGCATACCAGGTTGAGGTCTGGTCTGGCTTTTAATTTAAAAATAAATATCTTATTAATTGGGAGTTAATACATAAAGCATATCATTCCATAGTTCAATTACATCAAGCATTATTGTCCAAGTGCTATGACAATCAGTTTCCAAACATTCTTTTTTCTTTCTTTACTCCTTGACATCGTTTCCCTTTTACCAACGCACCCCCACCATCAGTGTACCCCCCCAAAAAACACCTTATTTAACCTGCTGTCCCTATAGATTCATCAGTTGCATATACCAAAAAACAGAACAACAAGTAACACAACTTCAAGAGTGTAACCTCCAATGACATAACTCCTGTGAGATACACCCTAATATAAATGAGCAAAAACAATACAAAACAAAACAAAAATACAGAAAATGTTGAAAACCAAATTAGGTCCATCATGCATCAGAGGGGGAATCAACTGACAAGTTTTTGGTTTTTATTTTTAATCATTTTATTGGGAGCTCTTACAGATATCCTAACATTCCATAGTTCAATCACATTAAGCCGTGTTATACAATTGCTACCACATTTAGTTTCAAAACATTTTCTTCTTGAACTCCTTGACATCTGCTCCCATTTAATTTTTCTCCTCCCTTCGCTATACCCCCTGCAACCCTTATTATTATTATTATTATTATTGCCATATCTTAAACATTTACTATAGCTACTCACATACAATTCTGTTGTTTTGAGCCCATCGAGTGGGGTTATATAGTCACCAGTGCTATCAGCTTCTAGTCCTCCTTTCCCTCCACCCTCTCTTCCCATACCTTCAGGGAACCATTAAGCTTGTTACTGTTTCTGAAGGGTTATCTATCTAGGATTTTATGTATCAAATAATCTTAAATATACAGATGAACCTTCAAAAATCTGACATGATTAATGAGGTAAAACAAAAAAAACTATAATCATAAGAGGAGGAAATATTAAAGAACTAGAGGGTAGTTATGTGGTTCATCCACACTCTGGATTTATCATCCTTTCCATGTGGCTCTTCTGAAAGGGTCCAATTATCTTACAGTTGGATTTTCGGTCTCCACTACATCCATACCCTTTCACCTCGATTTGGTTGCTTGTTTTTGAACTTCTGATATGTTTTCCCGTCAACACTTGATGATCACTCAGACTGGGGTTGTTCTTCCAGGTAGGCTTTGTTCTTCCCAGCTAGATGGCCACTTGTTTAAGCTTTTAAGACCCCAGACACTATAGCTTTTGATAGCTAGGCACCATCAGCTTTCTTCACCACATTTGCTTATGCACCCATTTTGTCTTCAGTGATCATGTCAGAAAGATGAGTATCATATGATGACACATTATTAGAACAAGCCATTCTTGTACTCAGGCAAAATTCAAATAGAAGCCTAAAGTCCATCTGCTTCCTTGTTGCATATGCATACATATACATATATAAACAAATGCACATATATTAATATATGTATATACATATCTTTTTCTCCTACCCCACTATTATGTTTACCCATCATTCACCTCTCATTAATTCCTCTCATATACAAATTGATTGAACAAACATGACCAGAAAAGCCACACCCTCCTCACTGTCAATTTTAAAACACTTACTATTCCCCTGCACCCGCCTTTGTTGACTGCCCACTCAACTCAAC